AGTTCCAGCCCACTTTCTTCTCTCTTCTTTCGTTCTGGTCCTCCACACACTCTCCATCTGCCCAGCTCTCCCCTGGAAACACAAGCCCCAGCAGGGGTTGATTTAATCACCGCTAATTAAATAGGAGTAAGTATCCGAAGGGCTATTCGATCAGTGCAGAAGTTGTCCCAGGCCGCTAATTGTATCCTCTGCCACAGCCCTTGCATTGAGTTACAGTGCTGGAGACTTGGGGAGAGATTTTTAAAGTGTCCTCAGGGGACCATGTAGCTATTAGTAGCTGCCGCAGACAGCTGATTTGTGTTAAGCAGATGGATGTGACTAGTGATCTCGTGTACGATCTGCTGCCACTTTATTAGGTGTTGAGAGAGCAGAGGACAACTTGTTAGAAATTGGCTGCTTACTGACTCTTAATGCAGGTGAATTTTACTTCTCCATTGGTCAATGGCCAGTTTACTCTTACACAACCCTATGCTCTGGGGAAACAGAGAGGGAAAAATGAATCTAAAGAAAATGCAAGCAGCACATGTGTGTAGCACTGACTGACAGGTACAGTTGGACTAGTTGACAACATAATAAAATTACTTACTTTTAATTATTAACATTTCAACATTCCCCTTAACATTTAAACTGTTGTAAAAGTGTAGCTTTTGCATGTGTGTGTGTGTGTGTGTGTGTTTAAGAATGGCTTGAAAAAAAATGTTCACACAACATTGTAATGTTGAAAATAAGGTTTTGTCTAAATGTCTAAAGGTAATGTATAATGTAATTATAATGTATAAAGTAATCTATAATGTCTAAGGTTTTTCTGATGAAGTAAAATTTCCGGCACAAAACTTTCAGTTGTTTTATTTTCTTGCTGAGGAGCCAAAAACATTACAACAGCATTCACACAACAGTAGCCATGTAGAGTTCATTGATCTATAAATATCAGAAAGAGCTATGTAGTGGAAAAATAATTGCTTTCAGTTCCACTCCCTCGGTCCTACTGTGAAAAGTGCTGATTTTGACTGAACGCTTCCTGACTTAGTTTTTCTCTATCACGTTTATAGGTTAATGACAGAGAAAGGGTAATCACAAAATTCCACATCTTGCACTAATTTTATATTGATTTTCAGAAGTACATTAACTGATAAGTGATAAGAGAGTGTAAGAGGATTATCTCAATATTTAAGTGGGAAAACTTACCCTAAACATTCAAATTTAATTAATTCAAACTAAAGGCTTAAATGAACAGTTCTCTCTCCCCCTCTCCCCACAAAAAATAAATAAATAAATAAAAAGTGGAAACAGGATGCACCTGAGCTCAATTTGAGTGTCATGGCAAAGGCTGTGAATACTTCTGTACAATTTGCAAAGATTTCAAACAAACTTCTTTCACGTTGTCATTATGGGGTATTGTTTGTAGAATTTTGAGGAAAATAATGAATTTAATCCATTTTGGAATAAGGCTGCAACTTAAAGGGGTCATATGATGCGACAAAATGTGGAAAACGTGAAGCACTGTGAATACTTTCCGGAAGCACAGTATATACATACTTTCATATATATTTTGAAACATTGTTACAAAATAGGAATTTCATTTGTTAAAAAGCAAAAAATCTACAGGTCTGAAATAGGCTTGTTGCGATAGACGGTGTTGACGGTGATACTGGTGTTAAGCCGCAACACCGGTTACCTCACTTGCCGACCGCGGCACCGACCTCCACCGTCGTTTTGATTTTTTTATAGTAATAAAACTAATTTAGTTCAGTAAAAGAACAGACACTACAATTAAAAACTGAACACGGCTGCTCAATGCAGCATGCCGAAGGACAGTTGCATCACAGATGATTTAATTTCTCCAGTGAGGAGAGTGAGTCGAGCTGACTGACAAGAAGAGTAGGGTGAGACAGACAAGACGATCGCGGATGATTTAGTTTAGAAACGAGATGCAAAAGCGCCTGTTTGGCAATATTTTGGATTTTGAAAAGTCTGTTGACTTTTGCCGTTTATGGCAAGGTGATTTTGGAAGTTTTTTTTTAAATTTGGATTTTTAAAAGTCTGTTGACTTTTGCCGTTTATGGCAAGGTGATTTTGGAAGTTTTTTTTTAAACATTCGTTTCTTATTTAATTTGGTTCCACATTGTTTGCTGATTTTTACTTTATTTAAATGGTGTCATTTATTTATTTTATTTGACATTTGTTTTGCTAATAAACATTCTATGTTTCTTATTTATTTGGTTATATATTATACATGTTTACTTATTTCCAGTTTTGTATACCTATTAAACTTCATTTAAGTTATTTGTTATTTTATATTAGGCATAGCTTGCCCTATAGCATGGTGTATTTTTATTTGTTTTGTTAATAAAAGTTCTATGTTTTATATATAGACTAAAGTGAGTTTGACGTTGTATTTTGTTGTTGCATTCAAGCAATTGACGCCGAACTGCCGCTAATTCAAAAGTCAAAGTAAAATGCGCACAGTGCTTTTAAGCTATTTAAAAGCGAAAGAAAAGCGAGGAAAAGAGGGAAAATTCAAACAAACTAAAAACGAACAATTGCTTTACTCCGAATTGCCGCTATTTTAAAGTGAAAGTAAAATGGGCACACCGCTTTTACAAGCTATTTAAAAGCGAAGGAAACCGAGGAAAAGAGGGAACGCCCTGCCCCCGCGGTGATACTGGTATTACCGGTGTTGTCATACGTCGATTAACCGGTGGGAAAATGTCCTCACCGTCACAACCCTAGTCTGAAAGCGCCCTAACTTGTCTCTTAAATGTAGCCACTTTTATTTTCATACTGTCTTTCTCACCTTTCTGAAAAAATGCCAGTTTTGGCCTATGATCTGTACTCATTGACAAGACATGTCCATATTTCTACCTCATTAACATCACTTTCAGTGGGTAATGGCTAATTAAAATTTGCTGTCCAACTTCCACAAAGTCTAGTTTGTCTGCAGAGCCTATTGACAGATGACACATGGACACATAGCGATCGATGACTATTTGAATGTCTGTTCATTGCTACTATCGATGTGATACAAGCTAAGTGTTAAAGTTCAGTCGAAGAACTCAGAAGCAGCACATAGTCTTTTGAAATCTGGCCACTGAAGGTGGCGGTTCCCTACACAATAATCGTATACTAATCAACTTCATTACTGCAATTCTCTGCCAGTGTCCTCACCTCAACAGCTTGTCTAATGATGTATACAATTACTCTGACCATACAGAATATCAATAAAACATACACAGTGCTCAATATCATTTAATTCTAACCATATCCCATAGCCGATGGCTATGATTTCGCATCCTCTGACTCTCACATAAACATTTAGATGTGCATTTGGTCTCCTGCGGTGTGAGCTTTGTTGGTCTGTTTGGAAACTGTCTAAAGAACATGTAACATCTGCAAAAACCACAAGCATCATAGACTTTCTCTGCCCAGCCGAGAGCGCAAAAAGGCAGATCCCAGCAACATTCACACAACCTTATGTTTGTGAACCCCTCTCGTTGTGTGAAGAGCCCATCAAACACGGCCATAAAGCAGAAGCCTACTTTATCCTACTGAGAGAAGCAGAGCAGACAGACTATCATCTCAGTGAGACTCATCTCAGAAGATGGCTGAAGTTCAGAAATTAGTTAGACTTTCTTGAACTTTCTTGTTTATTTCTTGAATTTAATTGGCCTTCGTTTAAAACCTGCTCCATTCTCAAACCCAAGCTTGAATGCACACAAGATCACCTATTAACTGAGTGTAATAGGTGAAAAGTGACAATGCAGTACAAAACCAGGTGGATCAAAACATTTCACACACATCAAGCTGCTGTCTCCTTGTGATGAAATGTTGGACTCACATACTACAACCCTTGATTCACCTCTACAATCATCCTTAAATAGGGCACCAGTCACTCTTAAGTATTCACTTAAACACTAACAAACATACTGTAAAGCAGGTTTGCCAACCTGGGGTTGCCAGAGCTCTTCCAGGGGTCTGCAATACACTTGATTTTAGGGGAACTAGTTAGGATTTCACTCTTAAACACAATCAAATAATCCCAGCTATAAACAAATAAAAGTCCACGCAACAAAAGTTACTTTAGATGATAAAGAGGTGTTTCTGTGTAAAGACAGTGTCAGACAGGTGTCTTTTGACATGTCTTGCTGTTTTTTTTAGCATCTTCTGCAATGAACGACACATTTTCATTCCATTGTACTCCAGCTATGTATTTGTAAATGCAAGAACGCATCCTACATGAACATCCCCTTGATCAAAATAAAAAATCTCTGCTAAATACCACCTAGAATACAAATCCTGTCATACAGAAACTATAGTGCACACTGATATTCTATAGCAATCACTAATATCACACTACATACAGTGGGGCAAAAAAGTATTTAGTCAGCCACCAATTGTGCAAGTTCTCCCACTTAAAAAGATGAGAGAGGCCTGTAATTTTCATCATAGGTATACCTCAACTATGAGAGACAAAATGAGAAAAAAAAATCCAGAAAATCACATTGTAGGATTTTTAAAGAATTAATTGGTAAATTCCTCAGTAAAATAAGTATTTGGTCACCTACAAACAAGCAAGAGTTCTGGCTCTCACAGACCTGTAACTTCTTATTTAAGAGGCTCCTCTGTCCTCCACTCATTACCTGTCGCAGGAATTGTGATACATTAATAACTGCCAAACTGTCCATGGATGCAGGTTTCTTATTTGTAATTCTAATTTATTTACTATGATTTCAAAAGAAATTTGCATCATACCTACACAAATTCTGGCTATTAAATTAATTGTTTACATAAAATGAAGTGCTTTTTAACGGTTGGGGTTCATGAAGCATATTATTATGAAAAAGATTGGCTATGGAGAGCAATGGCTAGAAAAGCTCATTAAAAGAAAAAACAATCACCATGTTGATCTTTTCAAAGAATGTTACAGAGCAAGTAATTTATGAACTCAATATAGAGGTGTCATTTGTGAAAAAAATAAAAAGAATAGGATGAGATATACTCACGTCATCTGTTCTGAGCTTCTTAGCCGGACATCCCCCGTCTACTGGATGCAACATATAATACAGACGAACTTTGTTTGCATGTTTCCGGCTCTGAAAAAGATGAATGGGGAGGAAATAAATTATTATTTAAATGTGTTTATTATTCTTAACAATCAGATTATTCTACAATCAGAGTATTATAAGAGAATAAGACGGCTGTAATAAATCAAAGTGAAAGATCAGTACCATTAGCCTTATACAGTATGTTTTTACATCTTATGGTTTGTCTATTTACTGTAAGTTTACAATCCTGGGACAGACTAGAAAATCTATTAAGTGTGAAGAAAAAGTATTTTAAAAAAATTACCAAAGAAAGATGAGCACTGGAGCAGGGACTGAGTGAGAAGCGAATGGCAGTGCCCATCTCATGGACAGGCCAATAAATAATTACTCTGGAGCCACAAATCACAAACCCATCAATTACTTGGGTTTGGCGGCACAGCTTTCAGAGAGTGGGCCAAATCAATTCACCGCTCAGTTTACCTGAAAATTATGTTGTTTGACAAGAGGGTAATTGAACTTCATCCTCAACACAAAGGAAAGAGGCAAAGTGTGGAAATGAAGGACAGATAGTGGAACTGGAATAATATGCATTGAAAGCCACTCATTTCCTCTTGAAGAAGTGAAAGATTTTCTGTCTGCTTTTCTTAGACGCTCAAAAAAAAAAAAGACATTCACCTGGATGAAACAGAGCTGACTGACTACAGATGAATGTGGTTCAAAAATACGATCTGTCACCTTGTGTTTGACGATTGCCAGAGAAAATCTTATTAGCCTGGTCCTCCTATTTCTCCCCTCAAGAGAGTAAATATGAAATGAGACAGAGAGAGATCGAAAGGGACAGATGAATCTCAAGTTTTACTGAGAATGCTGCTGCTTCAGCACCTGGAGAGCGTGCAAATAGAAACATATTTCTCTTCAACCTCTTCAGCAACAATTCTATCCATAATTTCGCAGTTTCCTAGAACACCAGCATGCAATAGATATGCAAATTTGTCTGTATCCATTCCTGTCTGTCAGTGTTGTAATAGTCAGGTGCTATAAACTGATTTTCTCTAAATAAATAAATAAATAAAAGAGATTTATTCATTTAAATCATACCAACCTCCACATTTTTTAACTGTAATATTTAATAAAAAAATAGCATTATATTATTGTCAGGCCAAGCACTTTAATATCAAATTTGCACAAATACATATTATAAATGCTTGTGTGTTTATCATGTTGGAGATAAACTGTTAACCCCAAATAAATCGTCAGATGTGATCACAATTCATTTGTTTAATTATAAATAAATAAGCACTCCACAGCCACATTCCTCAGCAACAAACAGTGGGCTTGTTTTTGAAGAAATTACACTTGTGGACTAATCTGACCCGAAGTGGTATGGTAGGGTATGGTAATTACATGGAGGTAGACAAAACTAGTCTCAAAGGGTGAAGTAAACTCAGATTGGGGTTGAACTGTCACAGCGATAGATTTAGAGGGCCACAATTTAGCTTTAAGCACAAAAAGCACATGATGTTCCAAACCCCACTGTCATTTGGCCAGAGGAAAACATCAAGCTCTACTCATGGGTAAGCACAGGGGGGAAATAACTGGCAAATGGAGAAAGCTTTCAAGACTCATTACTGTAAAAGGACCCACACTCCAGTGGTAAAGGACTGTTTGCTGAGACATGTCTCCTTCAGGGTTTACTTTACTTTCTTATCAAAAATGAGTTAAAGAGTAGATGACCCTGTCAATACTGAGGGAAGGATTCCTGCATGCAAGTTTATTCACTTGAACCAGACTCAATTTTACCTAACATCATTTTATCTTTGCTCAAACATATGTATAGTTGATTGATGCTGATACCCATGTTGCTAATTTACCTTTTTAAACAAGTAGTGTAATTGTTGGAGAGTATGCTCTTTTTCCTGAAGGGCTTCATCAAGGAAAAAGCAGACTGCCACCTTTAGAGATAACAGCAGCATGTGTGCCATAAGTGTGCCATAAGGTGCGTACAAATTAAAACCAGTCAAAGACTGGCAGCAACCGAGTTCAATTTAGTTTTATAGCGTTTCAATCGGACAACATAATTCAAAGGAAAAATGGTTTATAAGGAAAAGCCTAATTTATTCAATATATTAAATCCTGCTCATGCTGTGAGCTGCTCATATGTTGTTCTGGGGTTTTGTCAATACTGGTTTATTGTGAGTTTGGCAAGTTTTGACTCCTAGAACTAACCAGTGAGATAATGATTATGCACATTTCTATGAAATAGTTTTAAGAGAGAACAAAATCAAATCGGCCATTCAAATACAAATGCCTATAAATGATTCTTCTAATGATATAGCAAGATATTTAAAAAAATAAAAATAAAAATCAAACAGATGGTGCTGAAAAAATATATTTTCAGCTACAAATTTTAATTAGTCATCTGCATCAAGTAAACTGGGTTATTAACATGCCACAGATCCACTGCATATTCTATTCCAAAGCACTATATGCATCCTCACTATTTGGCCTCTGGTTGCTTAGTCACTAGAACATGTTCAGACCCAGTTTTGGGAACAGGAAGACTATCACAGAATGCCAGGAAACTGAGTGGGATTTTAGATTCATGCCAAAACCTTTTTGTCGAAAATATCCCAGCACCGCTATGAACTTTAAGTACAACTGAAAAAAATGCCTTGAATGGGCAGACTAAATGCTATTAGTATGAATACAAGACAAACCAAATACTTTACTGGTAGTAAAAATCCTGAGCATCAAACGGTAAGACTTGACTTGACGTTCTGAAAACGTGGTGCATTGTGAATCTAAATGGGGATCAAAGTGTGGAAAAGTGAGTTCATTAGCAATCAGTCTTTGTCTTGGGTATGAAAGACTTTCTGTTAGACCCAAGGACTCTTCACATGATATGTTTTCATGTTTTTTCTGACAGGCCCTCATCCATATTTCATCAGAGCATCACAAGCCTTTGTTCTGTCCATTAACTCCATCTTCTTCCAATTTGTTTGCCACTCCTCCCCACTTCTAAGAGCTAAAGAAAGTATCAGTAGAGACAATGAAGAATTATGCTACGGCTTCAGTTCTGCCAGATAATCTGTAAGATCCTCAAAGCATAAAAATCCCCTGCAGCAAGATTTAAAACCATCTATTGCCTTCCTCAATGAATGTATTATGCTTTGTGTCTTCAATACGGTGTTATGTTAACTGGTTAGGAATTTCATGGCAATTAAAAATAAGAACAAAAAAATCTTTACACTCATAAGAAAAAAAAAAGAACATTATCAAAGGTTAAATGCAACATTTTGTGTATTTTGTGTGACGTTTTTACTCTTTATTTCAATATATGCCCAAGATCTCACTAAAGCCATTTTGTCTTCACATTGCAAGCAGTGAATCCCTCACTGTTATGGCTGGTTTAACCTGACAAAATAAGCATTAAAACACTGGACAATGTAACTGCATAACCTCTGAAAAATGCATTAAAAAACTACTAATAAAATTATCTAGACATCCTTTATATAACTGCCTTTGCTCTTAACTATGAAAGAAAATTGTCAAATCAGCAGACAATGATTAATTATACTGTAGCTGTGCAATATGAGCTACTCCACAAATTATGACTAACTTTAAAGAAATACAATTACTGGTGCCTTTTTCATTTGAAAAACAAATTTGATGTTGCATTTGAAAGACACGCTGGGATGAGAACCCAAAGATCTGGCCTCATGCATCCCAATTTTATTCTCACTTGTTAGCACTATCTTAGGAAGCGTCTTGCAGAGAAATTATTTCTTCTCTTTATATGACTCTAATGGCTGTTAGGCCAACAAGAACATCCTGATTTAGTCAACTGTAACTAATTGAGGAAGCCAAATTTAGAGCCATATTTAAAGACATTACTGATCCTCACTTAGATAATAACACTAGATGTGTTTAATAGAGCTTCGTGATTCAAAGTCATACTTTCACAGCTCAGCGACAAGTTTAGCTCACAATACAAGATTCTCATGCATGTGTAAAGCAGCCAATATCCTATAGCATGAGGGCATTTAACCTATGACATTTTGTCTGGCTGATTTGTTTGTTTGTTTTGGATCACACTTACTCTAGTTGTGTGGAAATTGGTTTCCACCAGAACAATGACAAAAAGTCTAAAATAAGAAATAACATCACATTGCATGATATAAAGCCACATTTTGGGATATTAAAATATTTTTTACAATATCACTATTTTTTTCCCCCGTGTAGCAGGAGGAGGCTTACAGGCTTATTTATACAGTCATAATTAATATACAGTATACTGTTCAAAGGTTTGGTAAGATTTTTTAAATGTTTTTGAAAGAGGTCTCTTTATGCTGACCAGCCTGCATTTGATTGAAAATACAGTAAAAACAGAAACATTTTAAAATATGATTTAATATGTATTATTATCATTTAAAACAGGGGTGTCAAACTCAGTTCCTGGAGGGCCACAGCCCTGCACAGCTGAGATGCAACCCTAATTAAACACACCTGATCCAGCTAATCAAGACATTAAGGCTTATTTGAAAACTACGTGGTATGTGTGTTGGAGTAGGGTTGGAACTAAACTATGTAGGGATGTGGCCCTCCAGGAACTGAGTTTGACACCCCTGATTTAAAATAACTGTTTTCTGTTTTAATATTTTTCAAAATGTAAGTTATTTCTGTGACTGCAAAGCTGAATTTTCAGCAGCCATTACTCCAGTCTTCAGTGTCACATGATCCTACAGAAATCATTCTAATATGCTGATTGGGTGCTCAAGATAATGTTTTTATTATCAATGTTGAAAACAGATGTGCTGCTAAATATTATTGTGAAAACACTGATACATTTTTCTTGCTCTTGTGCCATTCCCCCCAGAATTCTGAATCAAAAGTTCAAAAGAACAGCATTTATATAATAAATAAAAATCTTTTGTAACATTATAAATGTGCCACTTTTGATCCATATAATGCATTTTAACTGAATAAAAGTCTTTCTTTCAATAAAATAGTACTGATTTTTGAATGGTATATACACACAACATTCAAAAATCTGATTTAAAAGATCACAGAAAAACATTCTTAAACATACAAAAAATTACAGTCAATTATTCACTCTTACAATTTTTCCCCATTTTCTGTCCTAATTTTACTGGAAAATTGACACTAATTCTGCAGAATGTATTAAACATGGTAAAATGAGTTTAAAAAGAAATTAAGTTAAACACTGACATTGTCATGACAATTTGCATAGGTCTAGTTCCCTTTCAGTCGGTCACTCTCGACGTCACGTCGGATGAGGTCCTGTCCGAGCTCCTGGGTGCTGGCGCTCGTGGCGCCTCGCTGGCGGATGTCTGTAGAGCTGCGGGCTGGACGACCCCTAACACGTTCGCTAGATTCTATAGCCTTCGTGTGGAGCCTCCTGTGTTCTCACCTCAAACGAGTAGAAGCACTGAGAGGCCCCGGCTTCTGGGCCGGCTTGCTAAAACCACTCCAGAGAGTCCATGTAGTAGACCCTGTTGAGCTCCTCCGTCCCCTCGGCAGCCAGACGTGGCGGAGCGTCCGGTGCCAGGCCTTCACTCGTTGAATCTTCGAGAACCGGTAGATGGCTGGGTTCCATATGTAAGACCTAAGTGGATCCCATATGTGTAAAGTCCACGGTATAGCCTCGAGCCCGTGTTTCCCCGGCAGACTTCTGCCATTCCAAGAGGGTTACAATCACCTCCATTCTTCCATATGCACCTAAGGAATGTTCATATGTGTATTTGCTTCCGAACCCTTCTTTGGGAAGGTTGGAGCTTCCGTAACGTTCCTGTTCCAAGTAGAACGGGTACGTTTCCCAGTGTTATCCAGTCTTACTCATTGGGTAGTGCCATAGCAGCAGTAGCTGGTCCTCTTGTGCAAGCCCTGGCCTACGCCAAAAAGTAGGGGCGCAGGTGGCTTCCACAGGACACTGGAAGGGGCAGTATCTGTGGCCTTTTGGTAGGATCCCAATTCGTCGGTCATCCGACGTGACGTTGAGAGTGACCGACTGAAAGGGAACGTCTCGGTTACGTATGGTAACCCTCGTTCCCTGAAGGAGGGAACAGAGACGTCACGTCCCGTCGCCACAGCTCCTGTACCACCGCTGAGCGGCCGGGTCACCGGCTCGGCTCCTCAGCGAAAACCTGAATATGCGCTGCATCTGCTGCCTATACTCACGCTGTGATCAGCGGCAGCTGGATGCAATAATCGCATGCCAATGTGCATTGGCTCGAAGATCCGTACCATACGTAACCGAGATGTTTTGTGTCAGGTTGAGGGAAAGAATCAATCAAATTCCAAGCAATACATTGTTGTGACTGATCCCTGTACAAGTAGAATTATGCACATTAATTAATGAAACAAGAAAAGTTCACCTGAGATTTTTGTCTTTTAGTCCTCAGTGTGAATCAGGAGTCTCATTAGAATCAAACTCACATGGACCATTCCAATCTTGTAGAGGAGGGTCCAGGACAATGAGAGGGCAGTTTGTCCTTGAACGCTGATAATATCACCATGACCAAACGTAAATAAAAGCCTGCAGTCTTCCCGCTCTCCGCTATGCGGCTCATACATATGTGAGATTAGAGAATTCTGTTTGAAATTGCATGAAGGAAATGCATAAGCCAAGGGCACGCAAACAGACAGAAAGAGAGCAAGACAACAAAAAGATATCAAATAGCACAGGGGCACCAGAGAGAATACACTCAATAGGAGACACAGGCCACAGACCTTGCTTACTGCTTAAAATACACCAGATAACTTCTGTTTGCTTTAGGTAATGCATACCTGATGTCAGTAACAGAAATATAGAGGGAAAAAAAGTCCCCTTGGCTTTAAGCATGGTGTTAGCAATCAAAACAGCACAGCAATATTCTTGGATATAACATTAAGAAGATGTTTGCCTGGAGCTTAACAATAACATTTATCACACCTGTACATATGATATTCTCACAGTCTTTGGTAATCCATATGAAAAGGTATGGAATAACCTTGAGAGCATAAATAGAGACCCTGGATCACTGTCTTGAGGACTATAAAATTAAACCGAATGCTGGAAGTCCTATTCCGGTCCACGATTGTCTTTCTGCATTATTAATGTTCCTTTTAATACAGCTGCTGTTAAACAGTTCAGCTCAAATATCTGGATTTTCTCTCGCTCTTCCAATCTGTCTCACTCTCTCTGTCTTTGGCTCTCTGTCTTTCAGTCTTTGATGTTTCAGGAGTGAGGATTAAGAGCTCATCGCGGAGGAAAAATTGTGCCCTCAGCATAATTTCTAAAACCATGTCCTGAGCGCAAAAGCCCCTGTAGATTTTTCTACTCTACAGCCTCTACAGTCCAGATCCCTTCCCAATAAAATGAGCTTCAGGACAATTTCAATGCAAATACACACTATTTTGTTTCTAAATTAAATCAAATGCTAAAATTGTGACAAAGACCCTAATTAGTTCAAAAAAACACATTGTAAGTTTCTTTTGAAATGACAGAAAGGACTGAGTAGACTATATAGGGATTCCAAATAAATTCCGTAAATAAAATGAACGTTTTTGTCACTTGTATTACGTTTCAGCTTATTGATTACAATTAGAGTGTGCTTGAGACCCTTTATGTTCATTTTTTATATTGAATTTCATAAGCATGCTGTTACTCCATACTTTATGAAAATCATGATACGATCTGTTTGTTTGTTTCTTTCCCTTTAGCTGCCATGAGCATCACATGTGATATTTACTAAGATGCAAATAAACAGTTACTGTATTCTCCACTTCTTTTGTATATTGCCTAGAACTTTTCAAAGCCTTTTATAAATACTGTAATAAAATGCTTAATTAATAAGACAGAGTCTGGATATTTGAGCTTCCATCTGATACACTTTGGAGCTTTTCTGAGGTGAAACAGAGCAAGAGAGACAAAAACTCTTCTCCACATATCTGGGTCTCCACAAAAAATTACTGTGCCCACTGCAAGTCTTTCCACATTAGGAGCATGACAGCATTTTTCATTTAATGCCTGTGGTGGTTTGCAAAAATCAGCAAAAAGATTTGAGCTTTTTAGCAGCTTTTAGTAATTTACCAAGCAGCCTCAGATGCACCACAGATAGCCTTTTTCCACTGAAAAGACTAAAGTAGTGATGCGCCAAAATTATTTTATTTATTAAATGGAAATTACATGGAAAATAAAATTTTAATATTAATTTAGCCAGAAACTGAAACCAAAAATAAAGTTTTGGTCATTAAATTTTGGGTCATTGAACTGTTCTGGGTGTTGTTCACAGGTGATTAACCAGTTATAGTAAAAATGTTTTTTTGGCAACAAGCCACCTCTTGATATTTTAGCCAAACAAAATATACATACTGCTACTCTTGCCTCATTTTTGTTCATGATGAAGTACATCCACACTGCTGACATGTTTACATGATGTAGCTTATCCATGTTTTTGCAGACAATCGAAACACATAATTGAAAAAAGCAGCAAGTGTTTCTGTCAATAACTGACCCTCCAAAAATACTTCAGCCCAAGCAAAAAACTTTTTTTTTCTGTTTCGGCTAAATATTTTCAGTTGCCAAAATTTTGGAACTGAAATCAACTGAAAAGTTGTTTTTTTTAGTGCCAGAGCTTAGCTTGATATGACAGTCAGAAGTTATATTAAATAAGATTCAATGCAATCAAATTCACACACGCGTGACATTTGTAAACAAAATTATTAGATGGCTCAAAGGTGCTCGGAAAATGGCTCAGTTGTCATGGGACAGCCAATAACACACTCGGCACGGACAAACAAAACAAACCCAGAATAAATATTTTACACTGACCAGCACACTATCTTCTTGTTGTACTCCATGCCTGCCTAGGCAAATACATTATGTTCCCCTCTAGGCCCGTTCAGGTTACAGCTCTGTTGAAGAGTGGCCATATAACTCTCCGTTCAGTGACCACGGGGGAAAAACTCTGTAATACAGCTAGGCTGCTATTCCTCACCACACAGATCAGAGGACGTGCACACAGAACCTCCTATGAGTAATTGTGGAAGATGTCCAGAAAGTAGGCTAGTACTAGCTATATTTATTGCTATATTTACTAGTTGTTACTATATTGTCACTGTGTCCTTGAAGACACTCTGATTGCTCTAGGGGTATTGTCCCTATGATAACTACACATTGGATAACAACATCTAAAATGACTAACATCAAGGAAACAAAAGAGAAGAGAGAGATTTGTACGTACAAGCAGACAGGATGTAGACAAAGCAGGTCTCACCTCATAATGTGCCACTCTCTGTGACTCTGAGATGAGCTGAGCGCTGCACACTTTGCAGTAACTGTCTGTGAAAAGGCCTTGATCCACCTCTGTTGACTTCATCTGAAAAAAAAACACATTATTATATTTCAGCACTTTATTATACACTTCCATCACTAAACACTATAAATTGGAAAAATGACAAGTCAAAAGTACTGCACTGCTATTTTAGACATACTTTTGAGAAAAACAGTGTCATGAAAACATGTGTTACATTAATTATTCATGAAGACATGTTGTTTCTGTCACTTTAATTATTTCAGCATGTGTCACACATATCAAACCACCGAACCAGCATGAGGACATGACATGCCTCTATTGGAGCCGCATTTCACTCCCAGAACGGCTTATAAACAGACTGCAGGGGTTTTAGAGCACAAGATAAAAACATTCATATGACTTTCATGTGATAAAATATAAAAATAAATGCATTTAAATGGCAATTCACTGCAAAGCACAAAAAATAAAATATATTTACACAAAGTTAACTTTACATACCATGTGCTTTGTGGATGATAAGAGAACAAATCAAGGGCCTAAAATTCCCATGTTAGTAATTTGATGGTTGCAGCCAGATACAGGTGGAGGGAAAAAGTAATAAAGAGATGAAGGAACAGTAGGAGACATTTTGCAATAACTAAATGCTCTCAGATAGTGATGTTCGGTTCTTGAACGAATCGTTCTATTCTCAGGAAGTAACCGGTTGAGCCAGTTCACAAATCGAACTGAATCGAATTTTAGTTCCGGGTTGATGACGCAGGACGCACAGCCGAAGTAGCACGTCCAACTCAAAAAGACTTGAATGAGCCAGTTCAACCAACTGTCGAAGTTTTTCGAGAATTACCGAGGGCTCAACAAGAACCGAATGAGCCGTGGTGAAGTTTGCCGAGGATTACTGAAGATTCTGATGAGTGCGTTGACGATACTGACGAGGCGCATACTGGAAATATGCTTGTTTATTATGACTGTTATTAATTTACATTTTATTAAAACCTGCAAAAACCTTTCTGTCGAGTGATGTAAATACATTTTACAATAGTTTATTGTGCATGCATATTATATTTGAATTTGCTTAAGCGAAATCAAGGACTTTATAAGACTGGTTTATTCATTCTTTATTCTGTAGACATGTAGAACATATTCACGTTCGTGCATCAATGTCTGTAATGTGTGTTGTAGGTGCGAAACATTTAGGAATCTTATCCAAGTTGTAGGCTAGTCAATATAAGTCAGTCAGTCGTGATCCGCTAATGAAACTGTGACCACAAACACATTTAACTTAAGTGAATTATATGGCAATAATCAGCAATATGCTTTCACACAAATAACTTTATTTTTGAATGTTTCAATATGCGTTGATACAAATGAAATTTTTCATTGATACAACATGGCACTGAGTTGTTAGAAAAGAAATGCGTAGAGACGTTATTGCTTGATGACGTCAGGAACCGATGAATCGGCTTTTTGAATCGGTTCAATGAGCCGATCTGTCCGAAAAGAACCAGTTCGCGGAAATGAATCGGACTTTGGATCACTACTCTCGGACTATAAATTTTACTTTTGGCAAATCGTAGACTTAAAAAGCTTTACTTGGATTAGAATTTTTTTACATTTTATTTGTGTGTGTCCTGGGTAATGAAGAAACTGATCACTCTGTAGTTGCCCTTTGCACACTCTGCCTCATAGACCAATTAGTGTGTCAAGTCAAGTCAAGTCACCTTTATTTATATAGCGCTTTTAACAATACAGATTGTGACAAAGCAACTGAACAGCATTAATTAGGAAAATAGTGTCAATAACTGTAAATCTCCATCACGTGCGTGCTTTCACATGGAGCAGCATTTACTACAGAGAGCCGTTGTTCACTGATAAGCTACACTAAACCACGATCATATATGAACATAGTTTAGTGCAGCTTGTCAGTGAACAATGGCTCCGTGTAGTAAATGTTGCTCCATGTGAAAGCACGCACGTGATGGAGATTTACAGCTGATTACAGAATCCTTCAGGGAACGAGGGTTACACAAGTAACCTAGACGTTCCCTTTCAGTTAGTCACATTCTACGTTACGTCAGTCGTGACTGGCGAATTGGGATCCGTATGGAAAACGCCACTATTGCTGACCCCCTCCAGTGCCCTGCAGAAGCCGGCAAGTCCCCCCACACCAGCTGGGGTGGAAGATAGGACAGCGGCTAGGCAGAGGTGTCCGCCACTGCTGTTCCATACAGTGGTACATTGGATAACACTGGGAAAGCGTACCCAGTTGGGATGCTACGGAAGCCACATCCCACACATAGGAGGTATCATGTGGAATTACACATATGGACTGGCCCCAGGGCAGTACTACATATGGAAGTCCCTGCGGTAGACTCAACCCGCCTGGGGTGAGATAACTACGCAGCAGAGATGGCAGTGAACGACTGCCAGGGAAAGACACGGGCTTACCGTGAGGGGAGCCGTACCGTGGACGAATACACATGTGGGATCACCCGAAGGGGGAATCACTACACACGGGCACCTAGCCCAGCACAAGGGCTGACCTTTGCTTTAAATGCGAATGTCCATCAATGTGCATTTCAATAACGTATTTCAAATCTACAAAGCCTGGAAATCAATTAGTTTCTTTAGCTCAAATTGCAAAAGTGGAATGGAATATAATCACTAATTGATGGTGGGTGATTTTTGCTTTGGTGTTGCTGGTTCCTCTCTTGTAACCATGTTTTTTTGTGTGTGTGCCGCAGCTCTTGTTGAAAGCCAGATTAAGACAATGGGATTCACATTTTTAGCATGGCCTGATTTGCAAATGCTAATGACTGCAACTTCTCGAAGACAGAATAAATAAACCTACTGAATAGTTTCCAAATAGAGTTGGTTTGTTAAATTCATTCATGCATACATATTAGATATTACACCATTACCATATTCAAGCTACTCAAATTAAATTTTTTTTAATCTTTCATTCAGTGGCTCAAATCTATCTCAGGCTGTTGCTAATTCCAAATCCGCATCAGATTTATAGCTCATGTAAATCTTCACTAGTGATCAGTTTCTTTTTCTTCATTCTGATATGACACTCTGTTCTCATACTTTGAGGGACAATGTTGAAAGTACTTTGCTGTTGCAACTTGTGATGCATCTGCAAAACCATACACCAACATTAAGGATACTACACACATTAAGGATACTGCGCGTGGTTTTTCAGCTTCCTTTTGTTTGTGACCTCAGTTTACCCATCATCAGAGGAAAGGCAACAACAAAGGTCTGTAGACGTGCTGAATTCAAGATAAGAAATTTGCACAGTTGAAGCTGCTCTGGGCATCAGATAGGTGTTCCAGCAGCATAAGTTTGTAGAGATGAGGATATATATATATATATATATATATATAAGATAACCAGAGCTGCTGCAGAATAGGGGAGGAACAGACAGAGAAATGAAAAGAGAAAAAATAGAAAGATGGTGTGGTGAGAGGAGCTCACTCTCCCTCTCTGAGGAATACAATTCAGCAGAACAAAATAGGCAAAATGCCATCACTGGAGCCCAAGCTCTATCGCTCTGATGAACACATACTGTATACATACATACCGCACACATCTAATAAAGACTGCATTATTAATCAGTCTGAGGCCTGCTTAGAGAGAGGAATGGGGCTGACAGAGTTGAAGAGTTTTCCCCCTCACTTATTTGCCATGTGAATGTGATTAAAATACAACATGATACAATTTTAGCCTATTTCCTTTCTAAATAAGATGTCTCTGCTTTAGTGTGCACAGTTTATCAGTGCATGTTATTCAAAAGCTTTAATCTTTAATCAAAATTTTTTTTTGCCTCAGCTGCTGTCAAACAACATGGATTACAGAACAAAATGCAAAAAGCACCATACAAATAAAAATAACTTGACTCGAACTTCCCTGCTGATATAAACAAGAAAGTTTATTTTCAGACTGCCAAGGACCTTCAAACTTTTATTGAAATTTAAAAAAAAAAAAAACAGCAGGTAACACTTTATTTTAAGGATCAATTCTCACTAGCTGCTTAGCATGCATAGCATATTAGCTGTTTATTAGTACTTATACAGCACATATTAATGCCTTATTCTGCATAACCATACTTTAGATCCCTTAATCCTACCCCATACCTAAACTTAAATGTTACCGAACAGCATTTATTTGAAACAGTTTTTGTAAAAAAAAAAAAAACTGTTTTCAAGTTCAACATTGTGAAAAAGGCCCAGCAGAGGTTGTACTTCCTTCGCCAGCTGAGGAAGTTCAACCTGCCTCAAGAGCTGCTGAAACAGTTCTACTCCGCCATTATTGAATCTGTCCTCTGCACTTCAATAACTGTCTGGTTCAGCTCAGCTACCAAATCTGACCTCAGAAGACTTCAGAGGGTAGTCCGGACTGCTGAGCGAATCATTGGTACAACCCTCCCTTCTCTCCAAGAACTGTACTCGTCCAGAGTGAGCAAAAGGGCTGGCAGAATCACCCTGGACCCCTCACATCCAGCACACTCCCTCTTTGAACTGTTGCCATCTGGTCGACGCTACAGAGCTCTGAGCACCAGAACGACCAGACACAGGAACAGTTTCTTCCCTCAGGCAATCCATCTCATGAACACTTGACAATAACCGTGGAACACACACTATTTATTCACTCATACACTTATTTATCTAACACACACACTCAGTCTACATTTAAATTTGCACATAATATACCTGTACATACAACTGTCTATTGTTATATACCTGTACATACAATTGTCGATTTGTATATTTTTATTCCTTAGTTACTTTAAAATATTTTCAACCAAATCAATTAGAATAATTGCTAATTACTGTACATCTTCCTCGTCACTTCTAACCTCAGACTGACTCTGGACACAACACACACTCTCTGCAGGTCACCTTTTGGCGTAACCTACACTTACACTCTCCCTCTAACCTATCCTCTCTGGTATCATCCTCACTTCCTCCACCCTCTCAGTTTTCAGCACTGGACACTAACACTGCTACTGACACTCTTTGCTCCACTATAGGGATGTAATGATTACCGGTTTGATGATAAAT